GGACCGGGGACCGGCAACGGGATCGCAACCCTTGGTGTTGCTCCCGCACCTCGCTCAGCCAGTGAGCGGGAACCAGTCTGTATGTGGGATCCGAACCCTCGGGCGGGAGCGCCGCCGCGCTTCCCAAGCGGGGCACTATAGCAGTGCGCCACCGGGCAGGCCCCATGCAAGGTGGTTCTTAAACAAGACTTCTCACAGGGTCCTGTTAATACATCTTAGGGTCACCTGACCCAATGAGTCCCAAGGACTGCTGGAGGGAGGGACCTTGAGACATGACTATTCCAAGGTCTAAAAGACTTTCAGGAAAAGGATTACCTTTTTGGTCTCGTTTCTACTATCTCTTTGCTAAGACTAAAGGAAAGCTTAACTCTGAAACTGGCAAGTCTTGTCTTTAAGGTTAAAAAACACTCTGAAAGCAAAATTCTCATTCTGGAAAAAGAACATTTTAAATAGTAAAATCCATAATGCAATTATTGATACCTGTAAACTTGTTCAAAAGTGAGCTTAATATCTGATTTATTAAGAATCATGCCAGAGAGATAGTATTTCCAATCCTCATTTAGTAAATGGGGTGTATCCAAAACCTACAACAAATAAAAAAGCATTTTTTTAAAGAAAGGCAGTTAAATGCTAACATACATACATATAACAAAATGAATATTCTGTTCAATGTATTTTTGAGATTTTTTTCATATCATGATTTTCCTCATTGATTTCCAACTTAAAACTAGAAAATAATAGTGTGATTGGAATAAATCAATTGATCATTGGGTAGCATCAATCAGAATTATTAAAATTACTTTTACTTATTTTTTTGAGGACACTTTGTTTTAGTAAAACAAACACATTAGAAATGAGAGCAGAATATTCTGAACAGATTCAGAATAGCTAACATCAGGCCACGGAGCAGCAGACCCAGCTCTTCACTACTTCTCGACAGGCAGAATGAATTAAAATTCACACACTCTCTGACTCTCCACCATAATATATTTTATTGTTTTATTTCATTTTTATTTATTTTTGGTTTTTTATTGTCTTATTTTTAAGTTTTATTTATTTTGTTTATTTTTTTTTCACCGTATATTTTTAAGATGGGCCAATTAGTGCACGACTGTGTATGTGTTTGAGAAGTTGTAAAATGGTTTTGAAACATACCCTACTTTTTAAGACTTACTTTTTAAGCCTGGTTTGATGTCTTATGATTTTTTTATCAAGAGGCCAAATGGACATAATCTGACCCACCAATGCTCTCAATTTAATTTCCTTCAACCAAATGAATAACTAAAATACCATGACAACAACAGGTTACCTTAGCAGTCATTCACATGATTTCATAACACAGATTTGAGGTGGAAAATAGATACAATAGAAGAGGGAAATCAAAATATATTTTAAAAATCAGAATCTGGAGAAAAACATCAGAAAGTCAAAGTTAGACCAAAACTTCCCCATCAGAGAAAGCTAAATGGCTGACTGGCCCCGCCAAGGTCTTAGAGGGAGAAAGTGGGGCCTGAATTCAGTTCCTGACTGCCCGCCAGCTGCTCCCCAGGGACAACCCTTGCCACGAGGTGTGGACGTCATCAGTCTCTTTCACTTCACATTTAGGGCCCTAAGCCATCTGTGTGCATATCTTTGTCACCTGGGAAACTCTTGAAAATGTAAAAAACCTCCTGGGGTGTGCAGGAGGAATGTGGGAATTTCTCTTCTAGTATTCTCAGTCACATTTGAAAACTACTGCAGAGGAGAATTTTATTCTCCTAAACTATTACAATCCACATTGTTGAGCAGGACTTCATTCCCAGCACTGGTTTCACTTACAATCATAAAATAAGAATACTATTATTTTTTTTTGTACTTACAAATACAGAGAATCCCAACTTACTGAATTAAAACCAAACTGCTCATGTTTTTGCATTGTTCTTGAACTAACTCACAGCATATGGGAAATTCAAGTTTCCATTCAAATCCTCCTATAATGAGTAGAAAACCCATATTTACCTGGAATAACCTCCTGTTTGCATAAGGTTCACAGATCAATTTTTCCACGTTTGCACCAATGAAAAAAGTAAGAACCACGATGGTCATCAATATCCAGCAAAAGAGGAAACTTAATCCAACCCCACTGGAAAAAAATACAAAGTTAGTAATTCTACAAGAAATTCTTAAATATTACCCACTAGTACTTGCTAATCTCATGCAGAGGGATGGCAGAGAGTGGCATACACAGCAGCACCAAAGGCAGGTGGGGGTGCACTGGAGAAAGCCTGGGGGGCCCAGGGAGGGGAAGCCACTGAGGGGCTTAAGGCACAGGAGGAAAACGAACTGATTTCTCTGTGAACAAGAATGCTCTTGGCATAGAGTGAAAGATGGGCTGGAATGGTGCCAACACAGATGAGATACCACCATGGAGGCTGTTGTCATGGCCCGGGATGGTGGCCTGATGGGGCAGGTGGTTGTAGAGAGTCAGTGGATGAGAGATGTCAGAGGAGGCAGGTGCAGCAGGGTGTGTGAAGAGCTGTATACGAGAGGGAAGGGAAGGAAGGAGCCCAAGGGTTGTGACAGGGGACACTGATGCTCTGGAAGGGAAGAGGAGATGGGGTGGGCATCAGTCATGTTTCCAGCGAGACACTGAAGTGGAGACGTTGGTCAGGAGTCAGACATGTGTCTAGAGCTCAGCTACCTGGGTTAGACACATACACCAGCAGCAGCTTAGAAACGATCCTTTGTCCCTGGGGCTAGACAGGAGAGAGAAGCAGCCCAAGGCTGGGCCAGGGATGCTTCACCATGTAAGGAGCAGGTGGTGGAGGGAGAGCCAGCAAAGGTGAAGAGAAAGAGAAGTAGGAAGGAGCCATTTGGGTGGGTGTCACTGAAGGGAAAGGGGGTGTTTGCAGAAGGCGGGAGTGAGCAGCTGTCTCCCTATACCGAAGTCGTGGAGGTCACCACTGGTTTAAAAGGAATGGAGGGATAGCGGAGGAAACCTTACAGGAGTGGACTGGAGAATCAATGGGAGATAGGGAAACAGAGGCAGCAAACCCAGAGAACCTCTTTGGAGAAGTCTGACGTGTGGGGAGGGGAGCTAGAAGGGAGAGGTAGTGTTGGGAAGTTTTCTGTTTTTATTTTTAAAGAAGAAAGAGAACAGAACATGGTTAAGTGTTGAGAGGAAAATCCAGGAGGAGAATAAAGACACAGGAGAGAGAAGGGGTGATCTATTATATCCTTGGGATGGTGGAAGAACGGGATGGAGAACACAGCTGGTGGCACTGGCCTGAGGGGGAGAAATCCCCCTGCTCTGCCACTGAGGAGAAGGGACAGATGTGTCGGGAAGCAGGTGCATTTGGAAGTTTGGTCGTGGGGAAGAAGGAGGGGAAGCCTTAGAAACTGCCACCAGTCCTAGAAATGCACCCACTTTGTGACCCCTGTGGCTGCTCCAGTTACTCATTTTTCTTGAAAGATTTAGATGAGCTGGGCATTGTTTTCAAGAGCTAAAAATGGGAAATTTTATAATGGGCTTCAATATAAAAGATTCTTGCTGCCTCTATTAGGTCCCCTTATCTCTGGGGGAACCTCCTGCACCCCCCTGCAACAGATAATGCATTCACCATTGTATCCTATTCAACCTCTAAAATGCTCCAGGGACTCTCAGCAACACAGGATCAGAGCAGAGCCAGGGCTCTCTGCCTTTCCTCCTTCCAGATCTTTCACGGGTATCCTCCTTTTGGGAGATAAGGATTCTTGTTTGGTTTTGATTGGACAGCGTCATCCAGTCATTTACCAGATGTCTCAAGAGGTGGGAACTTCTGCCAAGCACTGCAAAGCTGCCATGCTGAGGGGTGGGGTTCCCCAATAAAGAAATCACAGCCACCCAGACTCTGCAGACCATCCAAAATGGACCTGACAACATCCGACAGTCACCACCCTTTTTCCTACTGCCTCCAAGCCATAGATTCCATTTGACTTCATCACTTTTAAGATTCCTTAATATCTGCAGAAGTATTGCATCTAAACTACAGTAGCTCTAAGCCTGCGTCAATTTGTCGCTTTTTTTTTTTTTTTGAAGCATATCACATTTTTTGGTCATATCCCCATAAAAAGTATGGATAGAATTGTATGAAGGATGTGCCTTTTCAGAGCAATTTACTCCTCCCTTCAAGCAGTTAAAAAGACAGAATATACTCACTACTAAAACACTGTCAAAACAGCCAATTATCAGGGTTATTAAATTCTTAACATTTAACTAATTTTCTACCTGTATTTGTGTACCTGTGAACAAAAAGACAAGACAACCACATTTTTCCTTGCTGATGTAATTTCTTGTGTGTGTGTGTGTGTGTGTGTGTGTGTGTGTGTGTGTGTGTGTGTGTGTGTGTTTCTTCCTCATCCAGAGGTACTTGCAGTTAAGGGTAATTTCTTAAGTTAATCTTCTCCATGTATGGACTTCTCTGTCCAGCTCTAGCAGACCCCAGGTCATTTGCTTTAAGGTTACTTTGAAGACTCTTGTGCCTGCAGTAATGTTAATAAAGGCTTGTACTGTACTGGAGCCTAATTATTTTAGGGAAAAGACTTAGAATCATAGCTCATAGGAAGTCTAATTAATTATTATACTGAATAAAGCAAATTAATGTGTACCACCTGATCTCCAGCTCCTCCCTGCCCAATATTAGAAACACAGGTAGATAAATGAGAGCACACAGCTGAGGTTTTGGTTCTCTGTCCCCCAAAGGAGTTGTTTCAGATCTTCTGCATTCGCCTCGAGCCCCACCACACCCCCTACTGCTGATTCTCAATGAGCTTATTGAAAAAGAGAATATAGACCCTGATCCCACACAGATTCCTCTCTTGGAGCATGCAAAGCTGTTGGCTGCCCCTGCCTCCTAGTTTACATTCCTGGCTTCATCTCCAGGCACACCCAGCTATGCCCACTATGCTAGTCACACCCTAGAGAAAAGCTTTCTTCATACACAAGAATGTGGATATGACTGTCTTCAAAGCAGGGACCATCGCTTCAGTCTGCATCAGGCTCACCACTCCCTGATGCTCAGGTACACCTGCTCCCGTCCCTCATTTAGGCTTCTTGTCTAAATCTCAAGGATGCTAGAGGCATAGCATCTAAATCAAGTTTCTAGAGTTTCAAGCTAGCAATACTACTGATCATATAGAAAAGTGTCTGACCCAAGGTCGGCTCAGCATCTGGTGAATGAATGAATGAATGAATGAATCAATCAATCAATCAATCAATCAATAGAGGGAACAATGGGAATCAAGAAAGCAAACTTGGAAATAATTTCCATGATAGCTACGTTAAGAAGACCACCATGCATACACAGTTTGTTTAAGCTTGTCTAACAACGTGCAATCAATTTAGAGTTTTCTTGTACTCTTTACAATTGAAAAAAGTGCTCAAACCAAGGAAGGATATCACACCAAGATACTTACTCTGCTGGAACCCAGAGTACACGGCCTAGAGTCAGCACCCAGTGTCCTTCCTGCATGTCCACCCCCCACGTGACAAGGAGGAGCCAGCACTCACACCATGAGGAAGATGCCTCCAGTGTTGGAAATGCAGCCTCGGGTGGTCGGGGTGGCGTGCCTGTTATAACCGTACACGCCACACAGCAAGCCCAGGTAATAAAACACCACGATGAGGCTCCCCACAAAGCAGATGATCAAGCAACCCAGCCACCTGGTGAAGCAAGCACACACAGTGTTAGTACACATAAAACGGGTGCTATTCTCATCACACAGAAGTAGTTGGACTACAGCTGGACCAGGTGAGCAATTCCTGGCAATCTAACCAGAGTCCTTCATAAATTCCCCAGAGAGAGATACTGTGGCGAAAAGATCTCCTCCCACCCCTAGTCCTCCAACCCAACCAAACCAGAAACTTTTAGTTTTATCTCCACTTTGAAGTACTCTCTTGATGATCATGACATTGTTGCTTCTTTCCTTTGTCTTTACTTCCAAAGGCATTTCATGGGGCCCATAAGCAGGGCTTAGCTTTTCCAAGGCTACCGATAAAAAGACCCCTCAAGAACTTTTAAGTTCTTTCAAGGTTCCTGATGCTGTAATGACGATGGGATGAGGACAGATCATGACTAGGCTACAGCTAAAGAAATAATGGGCTTTCCCCCTAGCTTTCCTCTAAAATATTTTTTTTTTTAATTTTTATTTTGTCAATATACAATGTATATGATTATTATGGCCCTTCACCGACACCTCCCGCCCTCCTCCCTCTCTCCCCTCCCCCCCAAGAATGTCCTTTCCGTTTGCTTGTTGTAACAACTTCAAAAAAAAGTATAGTAGTTATATCTTCTTCCCCACCCCCACCCCCCGGTTTTTTTTGTGTGTGTGTGTGTGTGTTTGTGGGTAAATTAATTTGTTTATTTTTTTTAGCTCCCACCAATAAGTGAGAACATGTGGTACTTCTTTTTCTCATCTCCTCTAAAATATTTTGTGGTTGCAGGAAGATTTGTGGGCATTGTGTTCTTTACTGAACCAGAAACCCTCTACGTGGCAGATGCATGGAATATTTAGAATTTTACGAGCATCCTAAATCAAATGACTGTAGAATGCAAATGTCAATTTTGGAATGGTCCAGTGAGGCATTTTAGGATAATGGATCCTCAATTAGGTCTTACTGGCATTCCCAGAATGTACAACAATCTTTCCCAGCAGCTCAGGAGCATTCAAGGGTAGAAATGCTTCCCAACATTTAAGACACTAAAAAACAAAGAATTTATTTCTGCTTGGTATTTCTTGACAAAAGTCACCACTAAAGCTTTTCATTCAATTAAGGGCAATCTCAGTAATTATTATAATAGCCACCAGCAGCCATTCTGTGGAGGTTTGTTCCAGATATTGGGGACACAAAATTAAATAAGCCATGAAGCTTGGCCTCAGAAAACTTTTCAGTTAATGAATCATCTTCTTGGTTAAATTTCTCTTTAAAATAAGCTTATCGTCTCGGGGCAAGGGGGAGGAAGAAGGGAGAGTGGGTGGCAGACAGGTAGATAGATAATTGGACTATTCTTTCTCATCTGTGAAACTCTGATCTCTAATAAGATTGTACGTTCATTGAGAAAGGGTCTTTCTCATGTTTGTCCTCATACCTAGCCCCATGGTGGACACAGGCAGGTGCCCCTTGAAGCTTGTTGACTACAGGGCAATGCTTAAGAGCAGAGCTAGAAGAGGTTTGAAAACCCACGTCTGCCATATTCTAGCTGGCTTTTCCTTAGTCACTTCACGTCCCTGAGTCCCAGTTTCCTTGCTTATAAAACAAAGTTATAAATGGAACACAACCCAGGGGATTTTTGCGAGTCTTAAATGAGATGTTGCGTGTAAAGTGCTTGGTGGGCACAAACCGTTCCCTAAATGCTAGTCATTGCTGTTATTAGTTTATTATTTATCTTGTGCTCTTGCATAAGAAATAACCTGAATAAGAATGGGTCTCCACGGGCTTGGGCAGTACGAAAGGTTCGAGGGACAGGTCATGGGGCTGAGTCTTTCAGAGAGGAAAGTGCACCTTCTATCTCAGATGATCCCCTAAAGTTCTCAAGCCCCAAGTCCTTCCCTCCCCAGCGCTCACTCTGGAAAGTCCACCATCATGCCCCAGCACCAAACCCCAGCACGGCATTTTCTAATGGGGCTAATGAGCACTGAGCACAGCAGCCATTCACTGAAGCTCTGAGAGCAACTTACTGGTTTCAAGGCACAGCTAAGAGGCTGCTCTGTCAGTAAGAACCAACCTCTGTGTATTTATTTTATAAAACAATAAAAAAGGAATATTTTCCAAATGTCCGTTTTAATTACTTTTAAGTTTTAAAATCCCATTACATGCCAGGCTTGATAATTATAACTAAGATTCCGGAGACCACTAATGACATCACAATTGGAAATTATTGAATATTTGGCTCACAAACTTAAAGTCTTCAACTTTTTCTTTGGAACACTTCATGAATTTGCATGTCATCCTTACAAAGGGGCCATGCTAATCTTTTCTGCATTGTCCCAATTTTAATATATATGCTGCCCAAGGAAGCACTTCAACTTTCTCAATGAACATAATCTAGATTTAACACATATCAGGTCATGGCCTCTTTGTGCAATTTGCTCTCATAAGATTATCCTAGTGACAATGTCAGTTTTTTATCCTGTTCCCTACTATGGTTCACTCCCCTAGTTTACCAGCTCAACCGAGGCACTCACCAGTATGAATCATATTCTTCCAATCTGGGTAAATAGTAGTGGACGTAACTTTCAGTGTTATTAATGTAACCAGTGAAAGTTGGCAGCATATTCTGAATAGGAATATGTTGGGTTATATTGTTGATATCTGAACCAATGGTATTCAAGGTCATTTTGACATCTGAAAACAAAGATACCTGGGTTATGCACGCTTAAACATGGAACAAACAGAAACTGTTCTGGAACCAAACAGAAGAGCTTGAACCACTTTTAGTTTTTCCCATTTATATATATATTTAAAATATGATCCATAACAAGCATGAATATAGCCTACAATAATATCTACAACAAGCATGAATACAGCCAAGACCATCAAAAAGCAATTAACAAAACAGCAAGCTGTGAGTGCTGACTTTAATGAGATGGTGCTGAAGTCAAGCCAGAGTTTTCTTCTACTTACTTCACTTAAAAAAAAAAAAAAAAAAAAAAAAAAATGCCCCAGATAATTATGAGGTGCCAACCAAGTGTCAGGCACTTTTTATAAATGTTAACTTATCTATTCTACTGAAATAGATATTCTTATCCCTCATTGTACTAGCAGTGACCCTGAGGTGCACAGAAGTTAAATTACTTGCCCGTGGGTCTCTTTTTTAGAAAGCACTGGTAATGGGATTGAAACTCGGGTGTATCTAATTCTGAAGCACCTGCTACATGATTTTTTAAAAAATAATTTAATAATGACAATAATTCCTCCATTTAAGAAATGGCATTCAGGAACAGTAATTCTACAGGACCATTTTTTGAAAAATCGACCCTCAAATTTTAAAATTTATTAAAATTTTACCTGACTTATACAAGTTGGGATTTATTCAAGAAGTGCGTCTATGTCTTCTTGATATAGATTGAATTGTGTGCCCCCAAAGTTTAATGTATCGGAAACTTAATCCCACTATGACAGTGTTAAGAAGTTGGGAAATCCTATCATGGTAAGTGAAAGGTGGGGGCTTGAAGAGGTGGTTAAATTGTGAGGACCAAGCCCTAGTGATGGGATTAATATATTGAAAGTTTAGTGATGGTCATGGGCATGGTTCTGAGGGCTTTAAAAGGAGAGCGCACATGAGAAGCACTCTCTGTCTTGTTCTGTCATCTTACAATGTAATTCCCTGCACTGCTGAAGTCACCACCAAAGAAGGCCATCACTAGATGTGTTCCCTGGACTTTGGACTTTCCAGCCTCCAAAACTCTAAGCAATAAAAACGGTTTCTTTACAAATTACCCAGGTTCAGGTATTTAAGCAACAGAAACGGATTAATACTCTCCTATATGCAAAAATCGAGTATTCCCAGTGGTCAGTTTCTATTAATATACATCTTCATTTCTCAGAGAGGAGATAAGTTGAAAGAAAGTTTTCTGAAAAGTATCTGTCCATCACAACAGGTCCCAGGATCAAAACTACCCAGGGCGCTGGGTGTCACCTGGACCAATGATCATGCAAGTTCTGAAGGTGACTTTATCCACAGTGATTCTCAACACAGACATACTAAGAACATACTAATCAGTTTAAAAACTCCATTGATGCTGAAAGAGCAATAAAGCTCTTTGCAGCAGCAGAGACAAGATTAGCAGTTCTCAAAATGTGAGCCTGGAGCTCCTGGTGAACTTCAGGTAGATTTGGTCTAAAATGCAATTACATAAAAATGGTGGGAGCCTTTTTAGAAGTGTGTTTTACACATAGATAATGAAATCTAGACTTTGGAGATACCAAAATGAACAGAGTATCAGGTGTTTGGATGTGGCTCAGAGGAGGAGACTATTACTCCACCTCCCCGGCACCTCCTCCAAATGGTCCGTGTGCCACTATACTTGAGAATCCACCTCCAAGATGACAGGGCCTCTTTTTTACCTCTGGGGTTTTGAGATATGTGATACGTAGATTCCCCATTGCCTAAAACAGTTCCTTAGGGTCGCTGCCTACTTCTCAACCTCTCTTGTCTGCACACAGCTTTGGTGACTCTGTATGTGGCTGGCGTCCTCTCTCAGCAATTCCTTCTTCAAGCCTCAGTTAGATATCACTTTCCGGGAAGCCTTCCACGACCCTCTCCACCTGCACTCCCTTGCACATATCTGGTCCTGTTACCAGACTGTGATAAATGGCATCTACGTAGATGCCTGGCTGAAGGACATGCAGGAGCCATGTCTTATTGACCTCCTATCCCCAGCTTTGGTAGAGCCTGGCACAAAGCAGGCACTCAGAAGTGCATCCAGGCTAGAACCGAACCATCAGAACACGGGCACTAAGAACATGAAAATAAACACCTGATGCCAGGCTGATGGACTGGTGCTCGCCTGGCCCTAGGAGGATGCTGGCTTGTGTTTAGGCAACAGCCCCATGTGCAATGGGCTGTGCTCATGCATGCTGCACACTTTGCCTTGTCACACTTACAAGGGAGGGCTGCACATATGCGCAGGAGAGGTCCAGAGAGGGGAAACAAAAAAAGGAAACACAGAGATTAATAAGCAGGTGGCTTTCAGACATACAGCATGCACTAGCCTTCAGATGTTAGCATAGGAACACGTGAACTTTGTCTCTCACGTCTTAATATTTTAAAGTAGAATCTCATGGCAAACAAAAGGGAACCTGTAACACATCTAAAGCACTATGTAGTAGAATAAAATACTTTTTACCCAAACTCTTAATGGGCTGGAAAAAAAAAATCAAATAGCTCTAACATAATGTATTTTTAAACTACTTGGTCAACAGATAAAAAGAAGCACTGAGAAGATGATTTGAAAAAAAAAAAAAATAGAAGATAATCTTACATAGCTTCAGAGACTTCTCCAAGAAATAACCCAGGTTTGTCCCCATTCCTGCACAAAGAACTGCTTACATTGTGTTCTCTCTGTACATTCACGCCAAATACCACAGCCCGACTACAGCATGATTCAATAATTTAAGACCAGCAGAATCCTGTCAACATTGATTATCTCTCCAAAATTGTAAGCAACCTTAGAAAACTAAAATAGCATTACATCACCATCCGTGGACAGATGAAAATTTTCCTAAAAGACAAAATAAATCCTGATATATAGTATTCTTAAAAAAAAAAATCAATTTTAAGTTTGTTTAGAAAATATAATAATCTACAGTTTTTTTCCCAGCGAAAACCAACAGAATGCAACCTTCCAAACAACTGCTGCTGTAAGGTCTGTGATTGCTGGAGGACTTTCATCCCGGGTGGCCCTCAGCCATGCAGGCGCTCACTGGATGTACGACGCTAATAAGTGCTAAATAAGAGGATTACTTTTTAAAATTCTACATCACTGACTGAACATGACAGAATTGAAAAGCTCCAATATTCATTTAGTTTTCAAGATTTTGGTGAGAGACTATTTTTTAAGAGAAAAAGAACAATACAGTTCTCAACAATACAGTTCTTTATACTGACTGTAACAAAGAAAGATGCAAAATTACCTCAAACTATGAATCTCACCTGCTACGATGTCCACGGTTTGGCTGCCTATGCTCTCAGGTATTTCATTAAAGGATTTATAGCCCTAAAAGATATTTTGAAATAAATTGATATACGCAGTTGAAGACCAGTTGACTAGTACTCATTTTTCAGCTTTGTATTGAGTAGAGAAGTAAAATAAAAATATTACATTTATCTTAAAGCTAAAATTATCATTATATAGTCATCAAAAGTCTAAAAAAAATCCCCTTTAGAGAATATTTTCTTTAAATTTTATCAATCAATATCATGTTAAAAGTTTTTCATACTGAGTGTCCCCAGAATTTTTAAATGAACTAAATTACTCACACAGATCCTAGGAATTATTATGAATACATATATCTATACCAGTGGTTCTCAACTGGGGGCAATTTTGTCCCCCAGGGAACATATGGTAATGTCTGGAGATATAATTATTATCACAGTTGTGGGGTGTTACTGGCGCTGTCTGCATACAGGCTAGGTATGCTAATAAATACTCTTCAGTGCATAGGACAACCCTCACAACAGAGTTATCCAGCCCAAAGTGTCAACAGTGCTGAGGTTAAGAAACCCTGATCTGTACAATACACATGTGCAGATGTAAGTGAATTTCCAAAAATAGAACCTTACTTTCCAATGTAATTACAAAATAAAATTAGAGAATTAGTCTCATAGAAAAAAACAAAATAATGTCCCAAACACAGCTTACAGCAAATATAAGTATATTGAGTCTAAACAAAAACAAAAACAATCATGCCAAATTATATGGCTTTGGAGAAAAATCAATGAGAAAGAAATGTCATTATTTCCAAAGAACTGAACTAAACATGTAACCTTTCCTCTGGAACGGGTTTAGTTTGTTTTTCTTCACTGTCTGGTGTATTTAGCCATCTGCTTGGGGACACTGCCATGCTTACAAGCTTCATAAGATTTACAGTGTCACCCAGTTTCCACTTTAGCCCAGCTACATCGAATGCCACAAAAAGAATGTCCATGACTTCTGTTTCTTCAAAGGTGACAAAGCTACCCAGCACACTGGTGCTTGTGTTGGTTTGCTGTATGCCAGACCCTTCTATATTTATCTGCATCTGAACTTGCAGTGGTCACCCACCATGGGGGGTTTCACTGCTGGAACGAGCCTTACTGATCTCCTGGTTCAATTCCTTCATTTAACAAACAAGGTGATACCAGAGTGCAAAGACTAAGAATTTCAAATGAGTTGTTTAAGGTGACACTTACTTGGTCAGTATATGTAGATGAGTGTTTAATAAATATATGAACTTCTTTTACACCCATGCTAAAAGACATAGAGTCAAGAAAAAAACTATTCTCTCCCTTTCCCATAGGCCTAGGGCACTCTACTGAATCATAATCCATAAAGAAATATTTATTGTGTATTCAATATCTATTAGTTGAATAAACAGCAACAACTGGTAAGCTACCGGGAAACTCATGGTATTCCAGACCAATGTTGTCCCTGCCTTTTTTGAGAGTTACAGTCTAGTGGCAGGAACAGAGATGTTAAATCATTACAGTTAATGCAGAACTTAACAGAGAACCTTTGAAATGCTGTAAGAATGAATTTAAAAAGCTTTTGACCTACTCAAGGTCCCTAGAAGAGGCCTTGTTAAGAAGGTGATATTTGAAGCTTAAAAAATGAAATATCTAGGGCCGGCCCGGTGGCGCACTGGATAGTGCGCCGCTTGGGAAGCGCGGCAGCACTCCCGCCCGAGGGTTCGGATCCCACATACAGACCGGCTCCCGCCCACCGGCTGAGCGAGGCGCGGGAGCAGCACCGAGGTTTGCAATCCCGTTGGCGGTCCCTGGTCCGGGACGGGGGCAACACTGAGGGTTGCGATCCGTTGCCGGACACGGAAAAAAAAAAGACAAAAGACAAAAAAAAAAATGAAATATCTAGGGCCGGCCCGGTGGCGCACTGGATAGTGCGCCGCCTGGGAAGCGCGGCAGCACTCCCGCCCGAGGGTTCGGATCCCACATACAGACCGGCTCCCGCCCACCGGCTGAGCGAGGCGCGGGAGCAGCACCGAGGTTTGCAATCCCGTTGGCGGTCCCTGGTCCGGGACGGGGGCAACACTGAGGGTTGCGATCCGTTGCCGGACACGGAAAAAAAAAAAGACAAAAGACAAAAAAAAAAATGAAATATCTAGGCAAAGGAGGGGGAGAAAGAAGAGAGTGCCAGGCAGAGGGCACAGCATGTGCAAGTGTGTGGAAGAAGGAGGGAGCAAAAGAAAGCCACCACGGCTAACTCGGAGACACAGGGGAGGCAATCTGTATCAGAATCAGTGTGGGGTCCTGCATTACACCCACTAAATCCCAGGCCCCAGGAAGACAGAAGTCATGTTTTTCTTGATCTCTTACGGTTTTAGCATGGTGCACATAATAGGTGCTTACCAAAATTCCTTGAATTGGATTGATGAACAAAATTACATGGAAAATAAGAGCTATCGCCCTTCCTGGCAACCCCTCTCCAGAATTTCACTGCTTTTTTGCTCTTTCCTGTCTTTTTACACACTAGTCTACCCTTTAAAATAATATAAAATAACCTACTGTATTTTTTTCCAAAGAACATACCTCTTGGACCAGGTCATCCAAATTGGTTCTAAGAATGTTCTTAACATTGGCAAGTTCCGTATCCACAAATGGGAGCTGAAAATGTATAAAACAAAATATAACACAAGGTGGTCACCCCCAAAATTATTTCTTATAGAAAAAGAAGTCATCTTATATCCAGGTCCCAAAGTGTCTATATTATAGGGTACAACCTCAATTTTTTTCGAACAATAGAGTACTGTTTGGGGAAAACACTTCAGCTCAGGCACTAATTATTAGATGTTGGAGGTCTCCTGCTACAATCAGCTAAAAATGAGCCAAAGAAATTTAACACAGATATAATATGTGTGTTAAATCTCAAGTACCGAATATTGTTGAATAAAGCTGTAAACAGTCTTTTTAAAATTACTTTTTAATGTAAACAGTCAGTGGTTATATTGGTGAGAAGTCCAGAATAAATTTTTCATTTACAGCATTATGCATGGATTTATAGTGTTCTGGCTTTTACCAACACAGGGAAAAATATCATGTGCCTCTTGACATAATGTACCAAGAAGGACACAATATTATCTCTCTACATTCCTTGGCAAATATGAGTAACTTAAATTTAATCATGAGAGAACATCAGACAAACCTAAATTGGAGGTCATTTTACAACACAAATGGCTTGTTCAAAAGTGTCAATGTCACACACATACAAAAAAGACAGATTGAGAAAGGGAATGAAACAGTCACGACAACTAATGTTAATGTGTGATCCTGGCCTGGACCCTGGATGGGAAAAAGAAAAGATAGTTGTGAAGGGCATTTTCAGAAAAATCTACAACATTTGAATTGAAACTGTGGATTAGATGACAGTGTTGGGTCAATGTTATTATACGTCCTAACTTTGATAACTGTGTAATGGTTTTGTGAAGTTAGAAAATACAGTAAAATATTTAGGGGTAAAAGGGCATGATGTCTGCAACTTATCCCCCACTTATTCTTCAAGAAAAAACAAAATTCATATTATTTTATGCATATATGATGACATGAATGGACTGAGAAACAGATAAGATGATATGATAAAGCAGGCAAATGTTGAAACCTGGAAAACATGGCTAAAGCATGTAGACAGCGGTTCTGTGTACTAATCTTGCAACTCTTCTGCATGTTTGAAAGTACATTAAAATTAAAAGTTACCCCCACAAAAGATATGTATCTTCATATATATTTTTTGGAGTCACTGAATAGTTTTTTAGAGCTTAGTTGCATTTATTATTTTATATAAAATGTGAGGTATATATATAACTAAATTAATAAATTAAACATCATAAATAGACATGATCATTTTATCTACATGCTAGAAGTCTATATATTCAAGTTGCCCAAAATTCTTTTTTTTTTTATCTTATGTTTGAGAAAATGGGGGAATTACCTTCTATATCAGCATATAAGGTTAACATACTAGGCATATCTTTTTTAAATATATTTTAATTTTTAAAGGTCTACATGAATGTATTCTGCTTCCTTTTTTCTTTTTAAAGCTTGATTTATTATATGTGTCATCAAGTGGCAGAGAACTCCCAAGGGGGCTCCTCTTTACTCCTTTGCTCCTGGTGTGGCCATTCTACTGGGGCGATGGGATGACCCAGTAAGGTTGACAGAGGCCCAGGGGTTACTGGTCTCTCACCCAGGCCTCTGTGACCTGATAGTACCATGCATACTTGGCCCTGCCCGGGGGACCCTCAGCACGCAGCCCTGAGCATACAGGTTCACCCTGCTCACCTGGCTAAAGTCCGCGTTGATCCCCAGCTGGCTTAGAGACATTCCAATGGTGCTACAGGTTTCATTCACTGGGTATGTGGAGCACTCAGGGTCGCTGAGTGACCTCTGTAGGTTATATTTAACATTGTCCAGGCTTCTGTTAAGTTGTACATTTCCATCGCTCAGTGCATTCAGGCTGCTGTTCATGTTCTCCAGGGCCTCTTTGGTCATGGTGATTACTGTAGAAACACCACCCTGTTCAGAGCAGAGGCACCAAGTCCCTTCTCATCGACAAAAGTGGTCTAAATGAACTCAAGGTGAACTTGTCAATGACCTTAGAGGCACCTGCTGGGAGGGCTGTCTAGAGGGGGACACTGGGGACAGGGCATGGCTGGGCTCCTCCCCCAGCTGTTCCAACCAGCTCAGCTCTCCTGCTTGGGATCTTTTTCAAACAAGAAGCAGGGGGAGGTCACCAACTCAGAAGCATGATGGGGACACCTTGGCACAGTGTTAACTGGCCAGCAGCGGCTGGCAAAGGGGTCATTGCCCAATCTTAAAGAGGTCAATCCAAACACGTCAATCCCAAACACTTGTAATCCACATCGAACCCGATGACATCCAGCTCTATTCTAGCTATGAATATTCAAAGAGCTGGAACTAAACCCAGCGAGGCAGTTAAGAGCACGGTTTTAGACTCAGGCAGGTCTAGGTGCAGATCCCAGCTTCGCTATTTGCTGTGTGACTTGAAGTAGATTTCTGAACCTCTCTCAGCCAATTTCCTCATCTTAAAATGCTGAAATCACCACCATGTTCATCATGAAATATAGTGATTAGACCAATCAGACTGAAACTGCTCAAAGGCAGTGAGTCTATCTGTTTTATTTTGTGAGCCCCACAGCCTAGGATATATTCTTATGCTAGAAAATCCCACTATCCTGATTTCCTGGGGATGGGGGTGGGGGAGGAGGAAGCTCCATATTCAAGACTAGCGGGATAGTGAATAACAACCCTTTTCTAGCAAGATAGTGAATTACAACCCTTTTCTACAGTGGCTTAAAGGCACAGTAGTAGAAGATGTGAAATTTAAATTAGGGAGCACTGTTCTTCTAAGCAGGTCTTTGCTCTGTGGCTCACAAAACAGATGGCAGAGCATCAGCAGAAACGGGGTGTTGAACTGCACAATCCTTAGTCTCAAATTCTATCACCTTACCTGCATAGAAAATCTTATAATCTGCTTCCAACAGTCGTTTCTCTTGGATGTCAGTCCCATCATATCTTAACAATATTTAAGACTATAATAATATTTAAGACTAACAAAGAGCACCTTCCTGGGTGTCAGTTCCTTGTCTCTCCCACCTACCTCCCAGCATTATCAGCAAAGCATGAAACGTGGTACCTGGTTCACATTAGAGGTTCATAAATATCTGCCATAGCAAAACAACAAAGAACACAGCTGCAACTAGAAACGCACAACAGAATGCTAAAGAGCATGCCAAAATGCACTTCACACAGCCCACCACAACCGCTCCCAATTTAATGTTCCATGGTGTACCTCTCATAGTCCTTTCTACTTTGACTTCGAGATAAGTCATTTTAAGGCAAGAAACAAACAACAACGGCAAAGAATGACAGATGATAAAATAAATTCATGGTCCAGGAAATGCGTGTGTATTTAGGCACCATCCAGAGACATTCTGGGTTATGTGTAATATTTTGTCATGTCCCAGGAAGGACTCAGAAGTAATAAATATATATTTCCCAAAAGCTTCAAAGCATTTTATGCCTATAAAATATTAACTGGGTTGTAGCTCTGGGAGTCATATCAGGCCTATCAAGATCATATACATTATGTATCTAAAGTAAGTGGAAAAGATATTGCAGATTCTCAAATTTTAGTTAATTAACATTTTACCAGCCCACAGCACATTTCCTTCATAGGTCCTGACCTGCAGCCCAAACATGACTTGCACAACAAAACTCACATGTATCTGCTCTCTCCAAAGACCACTATACACATAATGCTGCAAAGCATTGTTAGCAAAAAATTTGATGGAACAGTTTATTAAGCACATTTTAAGAAGCTCTGACAACACCAGAGGCTAAACTTTACTGTATTCAGGATGACCAAAATACATATATATACATATAGAGAGAGAAAGAACTTTAATAATAGTATGGGAAGCACTGAAGAGAAGAGTAAAATCCTTTTAAATTATATCTAAAAGGCACTATAATTCAAATACTAAAAATTGTAGGAGCACTGGGCAAAAAGTAAAGGTACATGCCAACCATAATGCATCATTCATATACTTTGGCACAGATTTTACATAGTCTTGGAGCTGGAGGAGTTTTTGGAAGACGGATTTTCCAAATGCAGTGATGTACCAAGGGTCCCGGGTGCAGAATGCCAGGCATCGTCCCGTCGCCACACCAGTGCTTGAACTCCAGATTCCCAACTCTTCCTCCAAAGGTACACCGTGCTGTATTCCCACATGTGACATGCAGCATCCTACATGTTAATCCTCCCAAATGTGCCAAATCCCATCTAGATGACCCAGATAGCACAGGCTTTCTAGACGGGTGTTTTAATCCCAACTCCACCACTTCCCAGCTACCCAATTGCTGTAGACCAAATTGTGTGTCCCTGCCAAATCCATACATTGAAGCCCTAACCCCCAAAGTGACTGTAGTTGGAAACAGGGCCATTAGGGAGGTAATTAAGATTAAATAAGGTCGTCAGGGTGGGGCCCTAAATCCAATAGGACTGGTGTCCTTATAAGAAGAGGAAGAGACACCAGAGATGGATGGGTGTGTAAGACAAGAGGTGAGACTGGAATGACAGGCAGGGGCTGGGTGTGAAGGGAGGAAGAAAGGAAGGGAGGAAGGGAAGGAAGGAAGGAAGGAAGGAGGGACAGAGGAGCTACATAGAAAGAGCCAGGACAGGAAGGCAGAAGACAGGGGTCTCTGAGTTCACATCCCTTCTCTGGGCCTCAGTTTCCTTGCCTGGAAAGGAAATGGTTGGTGATAGAGAACAGATGCCTGGAGACACGTAAGGCAGCAACATCAGAGGATCAACCTTTAGACTATGGCTGGACCCTTTGCAGGGTCAAGCAGAAAGGCAAGGAGAGACCCTTTCAATTAGTTACGACTCATCTTAACAACCGCTGGCCTGTTCTGCACATCCTCCTGTTTCCATATATTCGTCTGAGTTGTTGAACTATAAGAAATGCCAAAGGAATGGACATAATTCCCCCACTTCCACGCAATTCCCTCCTTTTTGGCCCACTTTCTCCAGAACACTAGCTCATGAAAGTAAAATTCATATTAGCAAAATGACAAATGTTTTACATAGATGAAACTGTCCCCTCCATCAAGTACCTAGCACAGACATTTTTCTCAGCATCTGAAAGGGCCTGCGAGGTCTTTTTCCATTGCAGTGGAATATGCAGTTTATTTAAATCAGTATGTCTGCTCACTTATGCCATTAACCGTGGTGACTTAAGAGCTATGTGTATATTCCCTGGTTCTAAGAGTTGTTCTTTCAGGAAGGAAAAGGAAAAAGTCATCAACAGACCTTAAAAGACTGAAAATTCTATACACTAGTCATTTTCTTTTTTTTTTTTTTTTTTTTTTTTTTTTTTTTTTTTTTTTTTTTTTTTTTTTTTTTTTTT